TCGTGTCCTTAGACACACCCCATCATAGTTTTCCTCCGCAGCATCATCGCGACGCAAAGTCATTCTCTCTTGAGGTCGTATTAGCGAGTTACTTTGTGTCTGTACGCTCGGTGGATATTCCACGTTTTAACCAAGAGTTCGACATAGATATTGTGAGCATGTTCATCTATCATCCCGTTGACCGCGGATTCGTTATTGAACCTAAGATCATTGTCATTTATTTCTCGAGTATCTAATTACCACGGTTACTTGTCCAGTTCTATGATAATCGTATTTGCACTAGTCAATGTATTCTCTATTGCATAATGACATCGTGTAGTCCGAACGAAGATTCGTTTCACGCCCCTAACTCTAATTCTAATGTAAACCCGACATATATATTTATATAAACTTCTTTTCTTGTTTGCTAAATTTGTCCCTGCTACATTCGTTACGTACAACAAAATATCTCGTATAATTCTGGTATTACCTCCTCTATCTGAAGTATTGCAATACAAAAATTGCTTTTAAAAAATTGTTGTGGGGATACGTAAAAGTACCCTTCTTGTATATTGTTGACAGTGAGCAAAATATGTATATATACATCGTACATGTATAATACGGCTTTGTATACACTGTTCCCCAGGATCATGTGGAGGTTAAAGAATTGTTACGTATGAAGTATCTTCTTCGATATAGTTATAAGCATTGTAGCGGTTTATGCCATGTATTATACTTGTGTGTATATGTGTGTAGCAGCTACGCAGTTTTCAGTGGCGATTGCAAATATAGCGTAGGTGTGTAGCAGTTACACAATTTTTAGTGGAGATTGCAGATATAGCCTCCATTTTTTGCCAAATATCTCTAACATTACTTATGCTTCAAGGAGAGAACAATCATTAAATGAACTATTTTCTGTAAAATCTTGTACAACTATTACATAGTATGGAATATATTTTGCATTTACATATTTTATCCACTTTTATAGATAATATCTATATAAAAATCAGCAGCGTAATAGTGACAATTTTCGAAATGTAAAGTCGTTATTTTATTGTAGTAAAATTGAAATATTAGGTTGTCCGAAAAATTTGTTTCGTTTTATAAGGAAATAATGGATGCACAACATCTTTCGTTTTATATTATTTTATCGAATTACGTACGATCCAGATTGTTTTATCACGATAAAAATCACAACATTTGTGACATTAGGTTTTATGTTTGTATAAAGATGCGTTGTTGTAAAAGACGTGACTAAAGCAAAGACACTTTTCGGACAACCGTATGTAATCGACGCAGAGACATCTGCGCAGCGTACAAGATTCGCTTAGAGTCCAGAAGTGTAGATAATGAACAAGCAGTATGAATCTGTCGTTATTAGGGACGGTATTGTTCAACAGTCTTTCATATTCGAAACGCGGGAGTGTGGACGTGCTACGGAATATTTACCTATTTAAACGTTACAATGTTTGTGTTTAGCAAGTGTTTGTGCAATTGGTAAGATGTGCTAGTTGCTAGATAAAATATAAAATCTGGTTATTCGAAAGTTGACTTGCAATTTTCTATAAAAAGGATTTATTCAGGGTAAATACTTTATTAAATTTTATGAATTAAAAACTTTCTGTGGATTATTTTAGTCTAATAACTTTGTTCTGTCCCTAGGATGGGTCATACGGCAACCAGAAGACTATTCGACATGTGGAAGTAAGTCGTAGAAACCAATACAGTTTTCTTATTTTTATTGTATTTTTCGTCTCTAATGTACTACTTGCATTTATACATTTATATTAACGTAAGAGTGATGATATACATATTTATGTTTTAGTTTTAATTAAACGTATTGATTATATTTTTTTACATAAAAGTTAAGTCTTTCTTCCTATTTTATTTTCTTCCGCTAAAAAATGTTTTCATCAAAGATAATTCTTATTGAGAACAAAGAATAAAGTTGGTCATCGATAATGGTTACTAATTACAGAACTTACGTATAATTATTTCTATAATTGAATATTATGTTCTTATAAAATAATTATGTTTTTGTTGATATTAATTATTCTTCGAATCTCGTATTGTCATTTTTTACGAAAGTCATTTTTTACGAAATTTGTTTAAGAATCCTTCCCTGATGCACTTCGTGATACACAAAGAAGCTTACTCCAGTAACACAATTCTTCATAAATTCTTTCCCATGCCGTTATGGTAAGTTTTTTCCCTACTTCTTTCTGATTATCTACTATTACTGTATTATTTGCTATAATGTCTGCTTTTTCATCGCAAAATGCATTGCTTCATTTAAGAAACGCGATACACTATATTCATTCGTTATCTTTTCTATTTATTAACCAAAAATTATGAATAAGAAAATACAAAACTCAGTTCTCAGATTCTGTTGCAAGTCATTACAATTAGATATGGACTTAAACCGTCTAAAACTTTCAATTTTTATATGTATTTTATATGTAGATATTTTATTACACATAGAAATTTATTATACATAGAAAGCTAACCTTAATATTTAACCAATGGCGAAACAATAAGCAGTAGAATATCTCACGTGATATTAACAAAAATTGTTTGGTTCGAAAGAAGACATCACATACGGTGCAAATTACTTTTTTGTAGATCCAGTAGTAGGGTCCCATTTCAACTTCATTTTTGTAAATGGAACCATATATTTTTTAATACGTTCATCGATCTATCTTTGTATTCCTTATGAAAAGATTAAAAGGAACTGTTAGTTCACCAGGTATCTTAATTTGAATTCATCGTATGAAAGCCAGGTAAGGACGCGAAACGGTACTCTTGTGTTTACGTTCTTCTTGTCTTTTGTATGTTTCAGCATAAACACAATACCGCTTCGTGTCCTATGCTTATCTATCATACGACAAATTAAACATAGGATATAATCTAAACTAACAGTTTTTCGACATAAATAGGTTAATACTTTTGTATATGATATGAAATGTTACGATATTGGTTACACTACTGTTGCTTACAAAGCACGAGTTTCGACTGATTGGTAAATAAAGAAAAAAAAAAGAATAATATCAAGAAAGAACCGATTCGGAAGGACGAGCCTTTCGTTTATCTCCGAATCTCTCATCAAACAGGTCATATTGTAGGATGTGAGCATACTTCCCGCGGTGAACGTATGTATTGTTTATATATATTGTTCTGATATAGTTATTAACTATGCATATTGTTACGTAAATTTATATTGTAGTATAAGAATGTCACCGAAAAATCCGCCTGTTTTAAACCCCTTCCTTTAATGTGTGTAATTAGCTTTTTGTAGACATTAACGCCATTAATGGATGCCATTATTTCGTTTAACGAAATCATCGAATAACACAAACAATTCTTATTTACATTATTTCCCGAGATACGAAGCCGCAGTTCTGTTCTTAATGGGAACTACGACGATTGACTGAAATGAAACAGAAAGGAAATGAAAATTCAATTCATTACTTATAAAATATGTTAATTATTTTTCGACATAATTGCCATTTACATCAATCCATACTTGGCAACCTGTGACAAGTTTCTTCTTTCCGCCAGCGAAGAATTCTGCTGGATGCTTCTAGTAAACTTTTGATAAATAACTTCACTGCGATCTCGATGCCACTTTGCCAATCCACGATGCCAATTGGTTATAGGCTACGTTAATAAACGTGGCTAGTAGGTAATATTGTTTATGGGAAAAACCAGCTTTTTCGTTAGTCAAGTATTGGGTTTTTCCTATTAGGTAACTACCTGCTTTCCCCGTAATTAGTAAGGACAAGCAGGCTATTCTTCCATTTGCACGATGGTTTCCTCTTGGTTGAATTGACGTTTGTGTTCTGGATCTTGAACTAAGATTCAGCACCTGTTGTCATATAACAACCTAAGGATGTTTTAAGGACCACCCATAAACAGATAACACTTACAGAAATAATAAACTTGAAAGGTTTATGGTGGGTCCCTCGGGTAATTGAGGGTATGCGGTGGATCCTGCACACATCCGGCCTCTGATATGAATTAACGTTACACTTCCGTGGTTGACAGGACATTCATAAGCATCTGTTTCCTTCCATTTTTTATGGTCTGGAGTTTCCTCCCTTTCCTTCCAATAATACAGTGAGCGTCAGAAAGCAGATTTTACAATTGGATCAAGTATTTCATTTCTGTATTTCCCAATAAACATATCGAGTCCCAGCAATGAAGGAAAATCCCTCTTTTTCCGAGAATCATCATCGCAGACAGTCGAATGCAACGGCCCATTCCCTATTGCGGTGTTTTCCTCGATTTTAGGTGTGAGAGAAAAGGATTGCCAGTTTTGAATATGAAAATAGAAGCAATGTGCTACACTTTCCAAAAGTAAATGCTAGAATTATATATTTTAGTTGAAATACGATCTCAAATGTTAGGAAATAACGTAGTATATTACTGACGAAAAAATTAAGCGCTACAGGAATCTCTCGAAACGAATTTCTTTGTGTTTGCTTTTACTTTTTTAGCGATATATCTATTTCAAATTCGGATTGCCGTTCATAGGTTAGAGTACCGTCATTTGATTTCTTGATTCTCTTGATATTTGGTATCAGTTACTGATATTTTCATCGGTTGAATGGGCGAACAGCAGGCTATTCTTCCATTTGCACGATGGTTTCCTCTTGGTTGAATTGACGTTTGTGTTCTGGATCTTGAACTAAGATTCAGCACCTGTTGTCCTGAGAACGTGTGTTTTGCTGCTCTTTTTGGTTGTTTATGCCTGAGTCACATATGAATTTCCACGTTAACCGTTTTACCAATTCGACTCGGCACTCGGTCTGTATCTTATACATATTACCTATTTTTTTTACAAGGAGGGGAAAATGCTATTACGCATAACCAGTGATCCGTGTCACGCGGTTGTAGAAAACGATTAGTAGTGTGTTTTAAGTGACTTCCTTCCAATAATACAGTGAGCGTCAGAAAGCAGATTTTACAATTGGATCAAGTATTTCATTTCTGTATTTCCCAATAAACATATCGAGTCCCAGCAATGAAGGAAAATCCCTCTTTTTCCGAGAATCATCATCGCAGACAGTCGAATGCAACGGCCCATTCCCTATTGCGGTGTTTTCCTCGATTTTAGGTGTGAGAGAAAAGGATTGCCAGTTTTGAATATGAAAATAGAAGCAATGTGCTACACTTTCCAAAACTAAATGCTAGAACTATATATTTTAGTTGAAATACGATCTCAAATGTTAGGAAATAACGTAGTATATTACTGACAAAAAAATTAAGCGCTACAGGAATCTCTCGAAACGAATTTCTTTGTGTTTGCTTTTACTTTTTTAGCGATATATCTATTTCAAATTCGGATTGCCGTTCATAGGTTAGAGTACCGTCATTTGATTTCTTGATTCTCTTGATATTTGGTATCAGTTACTGATATTTTCATCGGTTGAATGGGCGAACAGCAGGCTATTCTTCCATTTGCACGATGGTTTCCTCTTGGTTGAATTGACGTTTGTGTTCTGGATCTTGAACTAAGATTCAGCACCTGTTGTCCTGAGAACGTGTGTTTTGCTGCTCTTTTTGGTTGTTTATGCCTGAGTCACATATGAATTTCCACGTTAACCGTTTTACCAATTCGACTCGGCACTCGGTCTGTATCTTATACATATTACCTATTTTTTTTACAAGGAGGGGAAAATGCTATTACGCATAACCAGTGATCCGTGTCACGCGGTTGTAGAAAACGATTAGTAGTGTGTTTTAAGTGACGAGATATCTTGATATTGAAAACCGTCAAATATATTTTAAAATAATAGATACAGAGAATGTTCGCTAAGACGCTCGATACTATCTGATTCGCTAAGACTATGTATCGATCGTTATTAAGATCGCTCGAGAGTGAGACTGAAAAACTGGTCACGTAACGATCGCGTTCGTTTATTTTGTAGAGGACAGGTATATAGGATGTTTAACCGTGAGATTTATTGGAGGTTATCGTTTGTTGTCGTAACCGTCGAATATATTTAAAAATAATAAATTAATATACAGCCTATAATTGCTGAATCGTTAGTACAGAGTATAAATCGCAAAATAAAATCGCGGATAAATACTCGATAAATGCTCGTCGATAACACGTAGATAGCACGTCGAAATAGAAAGATACATAACTCTTTTCGGTTGCGTCGGTTTATTTATACTGGTCCGGAGGGAAGTCGGAAGATTCAAATTCGTCTTTGTTCAACGGTTATGCGTAGCGGCGACATTGTTTTGCCCAGAGTCTATTTGTTCTTACATTACTGATGTTCTAACGATGTTGATACTCCGAGGCAAAACAACAACATGATTTGAATTGTCCTCTACTCATGTGCCGCTACATATTTATATACAATTGAGTATCCGAACTTGAAGCTTTGTGGAAATATGACTTTTCTTAATTTTGAAAAGTGTGCAAAAATCAAGCCTCAAATGTTTATTAGTTCTCGCAAAAGTTATCTAGCAAATAAAACGGCGTTTTATTTGATCCTGATTTCTACAATTTTTGCACCTTGCACGGCAACTGATAGCAACTCAGTTCTATTCTTTCTATTGGTTCTCTATACAAGAGTTGCATTATTATGTGCAAGTCCAATAGATTTTTGATTTCAAACTATTAAAAAATGGCTCCATAAGCTAATAATAGAGAAGAAACATCCGCAATTTTACTCTCTTTGAAGTCTCACGCGGATCACAGTAAAGTTTGTATTGTTCTACGAATTTCACGCTTCTGTGTCTTTATCTTTTCTAAACCTCAGAATCCATCTATTAAGAAATCATTTTAGTGAACTATTCCAAATACTCTTAAGTAGATGTAAGAATTCGAAAAGAAAATGAACTTTAAGGCCATTGGTCATAAAAGAAGTTTTCTGACGCGTAAGATTCCGTCCGGTGTCATCCAAATATCGAGCCTGCTTCCGGTAAATACCGTATATAGATGCCGTAGTATTGGTTTTGTGGGTTGTCCATCACGCAGATTTTCAAATCTTCTCTCATGTTCGTCTGAATCTGAAGTGGATTTCTTTTTCTGGTAGCTGCGTGAGTTTTGTTTTGAATGGATCGTTCGACTGAAATTGTTCAAACTAAGAGTCGGTGGTCGGTGAGGCAAGTAGAGCTCTTGAAAGGTACAGTTGGAAATAGCAGAGCATATCCGCAGATATTCTTGTTCAGTTCCTGAATAGTTGCGTCTTCAGCTATTAGTAGTTAGAAGTAGTTAATGATAAATAAATAAATAATAATCAATAAATAAATAACAATAATAATTTAACATTGAAAATAAATAATAATAAATAAGTAAATAAATAATAATATTTCGCTCATCCATCTAAAAATACGTTGCATATCTCTATAGAACTTCTTAAAACATTCATAACAATCGTGTTCATTTCATTTTTCGTGACGCCATGTTCCCTTAAACTTTTGACGGTTTTTGGCGTTATGGCCCCTCTACTGCGCAAGACCACGGGTAAAATCTCTCCATCGTCCACACTGTATTTTATCATTAGGCGGTTCAGGCGTGGGAAGTATTTGTCGACCTTCTCCTCCGCTTTAAGGAAACAATCTCCACGAGAATCCGTTCCCCGTTTTTAACTACGAGGCCCAGCTTATACAGATTACCTCCTATATTTATCGTAGGCTCGACAAATACTTCATTGTTCTTACTTAACTTATTCGCCAGGTGAGACTTCACATTATCGTGTCTCCTTATTCTTAGACCTTTGGAGTATTTATTTATTTATTAAAGACTTATTTATTTTTACGTAGGGGTATTTATAATTCTTAAAATATTGTTCGAGCTCCGTCAGGAGAGTAATCTCTTCTACCGACCACACTCTACTATTACTTTCTTAATTAGTGGGGTCTAATATTCCTCTTCTCTTAACATTTCTGACGGCACGGTGCGCATGCCACTCATGCATTTATAACCCTCTTTGGGTTCCGAAACTCAATTAACATCCATTTTCTTGTCAGTCCGTGCCAATATGGTCTTCACACTAAAGGTGTTGGTCCTCAATCTTAGATCATCAATGTACCTAGATGGCTTGAGCAAGTTATACTCCTTAATGTACACATTGCCAATTTTCTCTTTTGCAAAGTCAGGAACACCTTGGCCTTGACTTTTAAGTTCGGCACATTGGTGCAAGTGTTCGCTTTTTAGTCTTTTTTTCAATTTTTTCAAATCGTCGGAAGTGACTGGCCAATTAATCCTTAAGGAATTCGCCATTCTTTTCAGTTTTAAATCTGTGTCCGCGCCGATCAAACTTGCGGCTGCTGGATCGGTTGAGTTCTT